AATTCCACTGGCAACGAAATTCGAATTTAAGGAATATGTTACGGTAAACTGTGTGTAATCTGATGGATCATTGGATCTGTAGCTTTGGTCGTACCAGCTTGTACTGGAAGAACGTGGAACTATAGTGTGATGCAAGAATTATACGAAACCTGAGTGAAGCGTTTGTATAAATCCAAAGGCTGGAACATATGAAATCCCGCTTGGCAAGTCCTGAGTAGAGAAGTAGCACAGATCTTTGATAGTGCTATGTAAAGGATTATCACCAAAGATCCAGAACTGGACAGAACTGAGGTGTTCGGCAAGGCACCATATCAATCAGGCTATCAGTATATTTCGAGAAAGAGGTCCGCCCTTTCAGGCTATCTGGATTGGAAGTTTGGAGACTAATGAAATGGTAGATAATCTGTAAAGTAGATACTGTGGTTTGGGTAACTCTACAAGAGCAGGAGTAGGTAATAGTAGCAGCTTCAGCTCGCAAGTACTCATTCTTGAACTTGGCGTAAGTTACTGAAAGTCTAGATTAGCCAGATTGTAGGTATGAAAAGCTCTAGCAATGATGCCTCGAGGATAAATTAGTCCTAAGGCTATGGTACACATCTGAAACTTTTGACTGATGAATGTAATGGAGTGTTTCGGTGATACAAGGAGGCAGTATACGTTATAGAGGGTTTAAATAGGTAATCACCTAGTTAGATTATAGGTATAGCAGCTAGTGTAGAACCTATGATGTATAGTTATTTATACGCAAACTACTTAAATAGGTGCTCAAAAAATACATGTGTGGCTAGTTGTATTCTCTAATATAATTAGGGTTCTGTTGTGAGCTCTCTGCCCATTATATTTGAATAAAACCCCTATACCAAAGAGGCTAGTTAATAAAAAAAAATAAATAAATTCTAACAATTTTTGAACCTAGCTTGTCAACAAATAATCTTCAACAAATTGCCAACTATAATTCTAACTTATCTGAACTTTACTTCTATATTGATGGTTTTATTAGAAACTCCATAATGCTCTATAGATATTGGATGGGTTCAAATCTCTAACAACTCAATACTATATACATTTTATGCTCAGACAAAACTCTGGCCTTGTTTATTTAATTGGTAATCTATAAGTCAGCCAAAGAATGATTATAGTAAAATATAACTCAAATTATTATATAAATTTACTATAGTGCGAATATAGCCTGCATGAATCTAAAACTTTTTTTATACTAAGTTAATTACTTTTTTTGCTTAAGAGACTTTGTAGAGCTTGTCAAGACACATCTAATGGTAGTTAAAATGTCAAAATTGGTCTGATTGGTGCTAAAATATCATTAAAAAACCTTTTTTACTATGTAAACTTCTTTGCAAATAATACTATTATTTGCAAAGAAGTTTATATAGTAAAAAAAAGTTTTTTAAAGATATCTCAGCATCCACCAGGCCAATTTTGATATTCTAACTACCATTAGATGTGTCTTGATAGGTTCTACAAAAGTTTCTTAAGCAAAAAAAGTAATTAACTTAGTATAAAAAAAGTTTTAGATTCGTGCAAGCCACATTCGCACTATAATAAATTTATATAGTAATCTGAGTCATATTTTACTATGATCACTCTCTGGCTGACTTGTGGATTACCAATTAAGACAGAACTTGTAGCTATTTTATCAGCTCTTATTACTGCTCTCAGAAACTACACTATAAACATATATACTGATTCTCAATTTGTAATTTCTAAATACCAAAGCCTTGTATATTCTCTTACCACTTTTTTAGATACATATACACCATACTTTTCACTATGGAATACACTTATTAACTTTATCAAATCTTATAATATTCATATTATATTTCACAAAGTTACTGCCCATCAAGATGACAATTACAACAATCTTGCTAACCAACTTGTATACAACCACTATAATTTACCATATCTTATATTTATACCTTATAATATCTACAATCCATCTTATACTCTAACTTTTGAGAACTCTCCTTTAGAGCTATCTACTCGCTATAATATCTATATAATATGTCACACTTATATTTATACATTATAGATAATATAAAACCATTTTCAAAAATGAAACAAAATTTTTAACCAAATTAATTGGCAAGCTACTTGGTTATATATCAATAACAATCAAAAAATTTTTAACTTCTCGCATAGTTTTCAATCTTCTGTTCTTAAATTCTTTAGAATTAAAATTTTACTAGATAAAATCACTACTTCATATATTTTACACAAATAATATCATTTATTTTCACCTACTTGCCATCAATGCCATCATATTAGCTTTTATCTTCACTTGATAACCTGTCTATCTGACTAGCTACTATTCAATCTAATAGATGATTTATTACAACATATTCTCAACACAACCACACTTGATACTACTGATGATATTATAACCAATTTATATCAGAAGATTAAACAACTATACTGCATGACTATATACAATATATTAAATACACCTTCAGTCTTCTTAACACTATCTGGCCTAGTGCCAAATAAAATTATCACTTCAGTTTCAAACTTATTAACCCAAAAAATAGCTACAACACTTGTTATCAAATTTCTACTTCATTTTAATCAACAAGTTTATCATAAAATCTGGATTTTCTATTATATTTCTAGATCAACAGCCCATTTTTCTACTGATAACCTACCTTCTAATTTTACTTTGCACATATCACAACCTTTTCCTTCTACTTCTATTAACTCCAAGATAAATTCTTGGTATATACATTAGATCAAATACCAAACAAATCTTTCTTATATTATTACTAATATCTAAATCTAGGTGAGTCTTGGCCACTCCAGTTAGTTTAGGCCACAGATAAACTAATCTGAGTCTTTATTCTTCTTATAATATTTTAAAAGTAGATTAGTACTTTATGTAATGATCTCAATTAAATATTCAATAAAGATAGAGGCATAGTTTCATTATTAATATTAAAAAAAAAAGAAGTAAATATAATTATTTTGTAATTCAGTAATTTAATTTTAACAATTTTAATACTATTCGATTCATCTTGATGAGATGGTTTAAATGATATTAAATCTTTAAAATTAGAATACTAAATCATAAGATATTATTGATTTTGTTATTTTTTAAAATTTTGCAAATCTTTACTATATATATTTCTTTACATAAATTATAGATAACCCCTAAACAGTTTTATCTAAAATATTTTAAAACTAACTTAATAAAGTATAGTTTAAAAATATTTTTAAGACTTAACAAGAAAAGCAAAAAACAAAAAAAGCAGTATATTTAAAAATCTAATTCAAAAAAAAAGATAGTTAAAAAAACTTTTTTGCTATAGTAAAAATATTAAAAGAAGTTAACAATTATTTAGATACTACAGTAAACTTAATATAAAATTACTTTTATAAGAATATATAAAATAAAAATATATATATACAATAATAATAAATAGAAAATAAAAAGAAATAAATATTAGATTAAAAAAAGAAAGAAAATTAAGATTAAAAATCTGATTATTAATATAAAAGAGACAGAGCTAATTATAGAAAAGAGTAGTTAAAAACAAACTAAAAGAAAAAAATTGAGAAAAGTAAAAAAAATATACAAAAAAAAAATACTTGGTTTGATATTGTTAAAATTTTATTAACAATAGAACAAAACTATTTTAATATAGCTTTATTAGCTAGCTTAATGCAGATTTTTAATGCAAATAAAAGCTTTAACTAGTAAGACAAACTACTTTTAGATACTCTTCAAAGAAGTTAAAAATATTAGATCTATAGCTTAGATAGTTAAATATATATATGCTTTAATTTAATAAAGATATCAATAAGACTACTAATAAGTAAAAAATAAGTAAAAAAAAAGAAAATATTTGTTACAAAATATTAACTAAAGAATAAAAGAATATTTTTGTATTGTTTATCTTGTTTTCTGTCTTTTTTACTTGTTTTTATATATACTTGCTGTTTTTAAAGACTTTTTTGATTTAGATACCAAATACAAAAAGAGTTTATTCAAGAAAACAAAAAAACAAAACTTGACTCTATATAAACTATTTAAAATTCTACTTCTTAATATATCATATTTATAAACTTTATTAACAATAGTTTGTGTACAAAAACTACAAGTGGTTTGAACTTCTTGATCTTGAATTTTTAATTTGTGATTAGAAAAAAGTTAGTTTAGATAATTATTAAGAAAAGTTGCTATTACAATATATATGAAATAACTTATTTTAATAGTAGCTTATTTTTAAATATATATAGAAATATTTTTACTTCTAATTTTAAAAACATTAACTAATCTTTACAAATTTGCTAAAATTGTAAATTTTAATATAATACAATTTTTTAACTTTTATTAAATCTAAATTTATAAACAATACAAAATATTTTTAAAAACTTCAAATTTAAAAATCTATAAATTGTTTTCTCAATTTAAAATTTATAAATATTAAAATTTTTTCAACTAAACTTTTTTTATTTCTTATCTTTATATCAACTATTTTCTATAATTAAAACCAAATACTCTTATATAATGCTGCCAAGAGAAAATCCGCAAATCTTATAAGATTTGTGGTTTTACTTGGCGGCACTCATACGTATAATATTAAATACATCTTTATTTATTTTTTTAATCATAAATTATTATTCAATAATTATTTTAGATAATCATAATTACACTGTTTTTCTCATTTTCAAATTCTTTTTTTAAATAATTATAAAGTTTTAATAAACAAATTGCTATATTCTTACATATATATTAAAAAGGAGTCATAAAGAATTTTGTTAAAATACGCTAAATTTATAGCTACACCAATCCAAAAAAAGAATGAATATAATACAGTTAAGATAATAAAATTGAGGATTGAAACATAAGTTACTATTTCTACAAAGATTTGTATTTTTTTTTTTTTAACAAAATATTTTTTTCATAGATTGCTAACAATTTTTTGTAAATACTATAAAGAATATAATGTGAATAGTGTTTTAAACACTTAACACATCGTATTTTGTTTTTACACTACAGATTTTCTTAACCATTGACTTGCTTTATCAATTCCGGCTTCACTTACCGTAAATTTCATATTCCATAAAGAAAAAAATTTTAAAGATTTCATTGAATGTCTAACCAAGATTCTCAGATGCTCGTCATTAATGAAATCACATATGCTTATAACAAAATTTTTCAAAGAAACACCATCTTTGAACACTTCATGTTGTTCTTCAATTAACAAACTACAATTTTCCAGAAATTGTCTTAGACTATCAGGCATAAATCTCCATCTAGCAGAAATGTTTAAATCTAATAGAGTTCTAGGCATGATCTTTCCAATTTCTGGTAAGATATCACTCACATCAAATGGTCTACCATTCCCATAAATATGTAAATATTTTAATTTTCTACAACTATTTAAAATTTCAAACAATTCACCTATTTCATTTGGACCGATCATAGCACCAAGTTTCACAAGATTTGGACAATTCAACGAAATAGAATTTAATATGTGAGCATAACCATCTTGTTTACAATCTTCAGGCCATCCAAAAATAATTTCTTCTAAATTCGAATTACTAGCTAAAATTAAAGATTCCAAAGTATCAATTGGAACAGGATCTTCCTTAAAGATTATAGAACGGAGTTTGGTAAGCGGAGCTAACTTCAGAGGGGCCAAAACTTTAGAACTCAAACTTTCGGAATCACAAAATTCTAAAATTTCAAGATTAAAACATTTCGGTAACCAATCCAAAGGACACCATTTATCAAACACTATATCACAAAATTGTATATAACGTAGAGTGTTTTGTTGGCGTATGAGTGCTGTACCTAACGCTTGAGGGTAATGACAGTCACGAAGGATAAAATGTTCTAATTTGGATTGTGATTCTATGAAACGAGCGGTAAGTTCAGCACTAGAATCATAATGTTCATCATCGTCGTTATAACCAAAATCAGGTAATCTGACTTCCATCTACACGGATTGATATATTTTATTTGAAAATATTTTGAAACATGAAATTTTAAGAAAATTTAAGGAATATTAATATAAATTATTTTTAAAGAGATTTTACAAATAAACATAAAAAATTATGAAAAGTATACCTTTATAAGATGTCGACAAATCTGCATCAAAATAGGAAAATCATGATCGGTAGCAAAATCACCCGCGAATTCAAACTCTTTAATTTGACCTAACCATTGTCGAATCATTGGTTCACGTAAAATTAAAATCTTATGTTGTAATTTATTATCATAATAACTTAAACCATGATTAATGTTAACATCCATATCCATAACGAAAGAGAAAGAATCAAGACCCATGGAATGTTTAGCAAATAAACGAAATAAAGCTAACATGATCTTTTGCATAATTGGACTACCCTCACCAACATAAAAATTATTAATCACACACCATTCTTGAACAGAAACAATCATAGATAAATAAGCAAAATGTTTTAAGAATGAAGGATAGTTAAAGGTAGGAGAGATGTTTTTTGAAGCAAGTCGACGAACTAAATGTAAATCAAGGTTACATATTTCACCAGGATCTAAACAAGATAAATAAGTAGAGATTAGATGATGAGAGGGATTGAATTTTTTGTTGAGTAAAAGATGAAAAGGTTTATTCCATAATAATTGAACAGCATTTGCGCTCCAACTACGATTAACCAAGATGCAAGAATGTAAATAACAAGAATCATCCTCCAAATATTTAAAAATTTCCTGAAGAACTTCTGAAGGAGGAGACTGAGACATGTTATCATTAGATATTATGATAAATAAATTAAGAAATAAATATCGATAGAGAGAGAGAGAGAGCGATGACGAAATGGAGAATTGAACACAGCAGGTTAAACCGAAGAGAATTCAGCGAGAAGTTAAGGTTTAGAAGACGATCCACGAACGATAATCTGGGATAGACATGTGCCGCAAAGCTACATTCGGTCGCGATCACAAGTCCATGTGGAAGTACATCGTGTGAGGATTATACATCGAAATCCTCGAAGTGATCTCTTGTACGAACATTGCAAGTATTAAGTAGTATTAAGTAGTTATAAGGTGCATCACAATAAGGCCCCTTTACCTAACAAATCAAGTGTTGATGTATACTAATATAGTTCGGTGATACTGTTAATACAAATTTAGTTTGATGTAAATGTGCTATTATGTATGCGAAAAAAAAACATGGGACGAGTTCCCAGAATACATTTGCAGCTATAGCTTGAATCAGATTTGGAAGGTTCAGCCCTCGAGAACTTTATCCTTCAAGAAACAATCATTAAAGATGCACAGATTACTGGTTAATTCGGATATTATCGGCGGTATGCAAATAATGAAAAAATTTTCTCGCTTTCTCAATCGAAGAAATGTTAACGTAATTATCTTATTGTATACAAGATTTAGGCTAAATTTTTTTTTTTCATTGAAATTTTGAATGAGGATCCATGGAATACTTGTTAAATATCAAATACTCGGACCTATATTAGATGGGACCTGCATAGGACAAAAATGGCAATTACTCAATTATTATTTATTTTTATTTTTATTTTTATTTTTATTTTTATTTTTACATTTTTTTTTTTTTTTTTTTTTTTTCACGCCACTTTTACATACGGATTAACAGATTTTTTAACTTTGATATTCGTTGGAAATGGATATTTCCGTTATAATAAATTGGAATTCATACGTGGGAAGAAACAATATTAACATATACATAATATAGATTCTTTACGGAACATTAGCTCGTGAATAATGACTAATTCAATGTCATTGATGACAGGTCGTTCACGTGAAAAATTAGAAACCAGTATGGTGCCGAGAGTACTTAATAATATTCTTTAAAACATATGCATAACACGCATGCGCACGCAGAGCAGATTAAAAAATCGTGGACATTTTCAAAAACTACTACATCATTCCAATACTATCTTTCGAGATGAACATTTTACAGTAGTATGGTTAGTGACTAATAAAGGAAATCAATCATGTCTTCATTTTAAATTCCTGTCAAAATTGGCGATCACTTAAGGACTTTCATACATACGTGAACAGTTTAAACTGGAACATCTTTTTAATATCAGCATTGTCTTTTGTATGCGTGCTACGTTACGCTTATTGTTCAACACAATCACATTACGTATTATTTAATCAAATGTCAACATGTCACAATGCTATCACGGATCCGCGACGCGATAAACTTGTTATTTGATGAGTGAAAATCATTTTGTTTCAAATGATCTTTGCTTAGATTGACTTGTTCAATAAGCCAAATTGGAACTATAAGATTATGTTAGGTTGGAATTCAACTTTGAAATCACAAGAACGATTTAATTTTTTTGATTTCTAGGAGTAATTAATGAGATATTTTACTTTGACATTAATATATAGCTTGCGAATTCACCATCTGCAATGTTCTGTCATATTGATTTAATTAAATCTTGTAACTTACCCTTTGTATTATGATTAAAAATGCATTTTGCCAGTGATGGGACCTCTCAAATTATTAATAATTAATTATTAATAATTAACCGAGCTATTAGATAAAAACCACTTAGTAATGTGCGGCGAAGTAGGTCGATAATTTCGGGTACGTATCACTTCACAGAAAATCATTTTACAGACATCTTATTTCATAGACAATCAATTTCATAGACAATAAGTTCATAGACAATCAATTTATAGACTATTTTAAAGACAATTAATTCACAGATAGTTAGTTCACTTTACAGACAATTTATTTTACAGACATTAATATCTAAATCAATACAAATTCATAATTACTTTGGGATTCAGTGATCGGATCTAGGTAATTTTAGGCTTGTTAGAATCATCTTACCAAGGCGATTATTTTGGTAATTAAATTATCCAAAACAGACCACTAGATCGGGAGCTATTCTCTTTTAAAGATTGTCCATAAAATAAACCGTCTGCAAAATGAGCTGTCTATGAATTGAACTGTCTATGAATTATAATTGTCTTTAAGATAAACTTGTCTATGAATTGAATGTCTATGTAATAAGGTGTCTATGAAAATAATTTCCTGTAAAGTGATACGTATCCATAATTTCATCCCCCATCATTAAATGTTCGTTACAATTTTTTTGCATACATTTATTTTAATTGTAGTAATATGCAAAATTATCAATGTGATTACATAACAATGATCGAAATTATTAATTATTGTGGCGGATTAAAATGAGATTAAAATGAAATTTTGTATAATGTAAAAATAGACAAGCCACCGAAAAAATACAAAATTTTGGGGTGTATTTTTTTTTGGCATTAGGAGTCAACTTTGGGGTAGAATTTATAATAAACAAGTATAAGTGGGTTTTTAGGAGGTTAACGTTAAATAGGCAGTTCATGAGGCAGCCAGGGCGGCCCCCAAAGTGCCAGTGACGTAATCATGGCACAGCCACTGTATATATAATATTGAATTACGAACAATTGCTATCTAAAAAAAAAAATTGATCTACAATATGCGGCTAGAAAAGAACCAATAAGTTGAACTAATTGATCTTATGTCACTGGCACTTTGGGGGCCGCTCTGGCTGCCTCAAATTTTATTAAAAACTCAGAGGTCCCATCACTATAATTTTACATTAATAATTGTCGGAGATGATTCTGAGAATCGGATGATTGAGAATTTGGGGTCTTAATTTAAAAATATAAACCTTGCTAAAATCCATAATTCGCGAAATAATGATCATGGGCGTTATTTCGAAAATCGTATTCTCTATATATACTTAGTTTCAAAATAACGCCCATTAGTGTTCCAAATCGGTCAAAATTTTCAAATCGATTAGTTGTCAACTTGTTGCCGATTAGTTGCAATTAATTGTCACATGGTTTTGATAAATTTGATTGGTCAATAAATAATCACATGTTTTTTTGTATCAATTTGATTGTTAAAGAAATTTAACATTTAAAATTTATTATGTAGATAATCAATCAACGATAAAAAATTTTCCAATCGATTAGTCAACTAACTGTCAACTATATAGTTGGTTTTCAACTAACGATTTTTGAATGCGCGTCCCGAAATAGCGCGCATCTTATATATGAGTACATAAGTAGGGATGCTGGGCAGGTCACAATTAGTCATAAGACTAGTATGAAACTAAAAAAAAATTGGTCTTTTCTCAGTCTTAAGACCGGACCAGTCTGAACCAGTCTGAACCAGTCTGAACATGTTTAAATTACTTAAATCTTTTTAAATATAAATCAATAAAAACCCCTACACATAAGCAAATGTATGACACGGCAGCCTTGTTTCATGGGCGTACCGAAATAACGCGCGGGTGTTCAAAATAACGCACAGATGTGCGTTATTTCGCGGATTTACGGTATTCTTTTTCATAAATTCTAACCCTAAATTATTTATAAAATTTTTTTATATTAAAATAATTCCAATTCTCAGCATCATCCCCGACAATAATTGTTCGCTAGTTACCGTAACTTATGCCATAAATTCCTTGAATCCATGCATTTTAAACCGATTCTAATTGATCCTAATTTTGCGCATGAACGCGGGTCTGCAGTTACAATCGGTCTTAAAGATGCGCTAAAGCCTCGTTGTATTTTATGTTGGTATTTTATATTGATCAACTGATTTTTTTACCTTATCTACGGTAAGATCAATTAATAATCAATTCACTAACTACAATGTAATCCGCGCATACATTATGGTCGTATTTTCAACCAGCTCGTGATACTTGTATCAGCTAATTTAATTAATACAGTACGTAGTTAAATTTTATATATCAGATATATATATATATGCGTAACTAATATTTGTTAATCATATGATAAATAATAAATCATAACTATGGCGTAAAGAACATTTCTTATTTACAAATCACAACTATGGCGTAAGGAACATTTCTTATTTGTTAATCAAAGCTTGCATCAATCAGAAAATTCATTCTTTTTAAACAAAAACTTCTTGTACGTTCACAATTGTATGCAAGATGAACCAATGACAATGTAATAACATTAAATTATCCAAAAATCAAAAAAATTATTCAACTTAATATACTATGTTATACTATGTTATAGTAATATAATGAATTTACTTGACGGTGAAACGAATACAGTCATCTTGTGAACCACGTTGGGCAACGGGCATGATGACTGGTTGATGGGTGTACGAAGAGACCATCGTACATATACGGTATCTACCACTTGGTAAACCAGGTCCTAAGGCCGTGCCAACTTCAGTCTCCAATATACCATGATCATTAGCTGGATCATACAACCCTTTAAAAAAAGCAAATATATTAGGATTCGGAACGATCTCTCCGTCTTTATCATAGGTTAATTTTTGAATAACAACATGACAATGTCCTTTGATGATCCCTTCTTCATTAAGTACTTGTGGCATGGTATAGTATTCACTATCAGAATCAGAAAAATATCCTGTTTGCAAATTAATGATTTTAATTGCTAGTGTAAAATTCTGATTTGCTGGTACAGTAGATCCATCCTTTGGTTTAAGAATAAGAGTGGAGATCATAAGTTCGGTTGCTGGAAGTTGTCCTTGGATTAAGCTAGAGCACCATCCTCCAAGATTACCATTGATTTTAATTTGAGTGCCGTTAGCGACTACTTTTGATTTTAAACAGATCCCTGAGGGTGGTGGAACAGAAGAGGCTGATTCATTAAAGGGTATAGATTCGTTATAAGATGCAGAGTCGGTGGGGCAAAAACTGAACAAGGCAGTAATAAAAGTAATGATAATAATATTAAAAGTAAATTTCATTTTTTATTTTTTTTTGGTAGTCCGTTTGAGAAAGGATCGATATATTCAAGAGATAAATTAGGTGTTATTTTATTGTTATAGTTATTAAGTTATTGTAGTATACAGAAGTAAAAGACGAAAAAACAACAGATCGAAGGTAATTTTTGTAGAGGATACTGAAATATAAATACGAAAGAATTATGAAAAAATTAAGTGTAAGTGATTTTATTTTTTATTTTTTTAGAAAAATATTGTCGATTTATTCTTATATTAAACGCCAAGTTTTTAATTGAATTCTTAAGCTCTATCCCTAAGCTTGACTAGAGTATCCAGAACTGCATCGCCCATTGCCCACGCTAAAAATATTTTTGTGCATTGTTATGTAAAAAAAACGTGACTTGAATTACTTTTTAAATCAAATACAAAAAAAAATATATATACAGTATATTTGACATTGGCGTCTCAGGAGTCTGGATATTCTAAGTATTCTAAGTATTCTAAGCCAATAAACATACTTAAAAAATGTCAACCCACTGACTGTGCCAATCTAAAGTACCTTTTTTGATATCTCAAAAACAAATTTTAATCATGTCATCAAAAACAACACTTTTTTGAATGCCGGAAATTTTAATAACCCTGCTAGAAGTTCAAGCGGCTGAGAAACTTTTGATATTTACAATAATCCCTTTCCTTAATTGATTATATTGCTTCGGCCCATTCGGGAAAATTTTAAATTCATCGCATTAACAAAAACGGCATGCATAAATTTTATTTGTTTGTTGTTCTGCATTCCTTTTTTCCTTAATAATAAATTAATTCAAATTTCACACAAACGAAAGTATTGACCATTGCCTAAAAATAAAACTTGAACTCCATTTACCTAAATTATGACTTATATATTACTCTTGATATTGCATATCTGCATTAAGGGTAATGCCTTTTTGAATTATATTAACGAATATCATAATAATGACTTCAACAATAACCCCTGAATCTTTTTTTTTTTACAATCCTTTCATAATCCTTTCATAATTGGGAGATATTATCACAAATAGAATTTTTGTGAAACTCGTATATAGAATGTTTCGATATACGTGTAATCTTTAATTATATTCATGCATTAAAATAACGGTAAAAGCAAACACGATATATATGATTTAAAATATTAATATTTTATATATTTTATGGATAATGCATCCAATAATTATATATTACAAATGTAAAAATCGCAGGATGAAATGAAAAAATCATTGGAAATTAAATTATTGTTCATTAAAAAAAAAATAATAAATAAATACAAGAAATAAATACATAACAAACGAACAGTAATTTTTTTTTTTAATTTTTTGATATTATTTGAAAAACTTCATAATCTTCAACAAAAAAATCGGTCACGCTAAAATTCTTTTCATAATAATGATTACAATTACAATCAGAACTATTAGTTTGATTGCAATTTGAAGATATAAATAAATCAGGATATCCGAAAGTAGGACCATAGGAAGAATTTTGAAATATCGCACTAACAGAACAATCAGGAAGGATACGACTTATCTTTGATGTAGAATTATCAAAGTAAAATAAGAAACTTTTGTTAGTCGCTGTATATCCATTAGGAAGCATCCATCCGACAGGATTATAACCACCAACTATTTTATCGGAATCCTTAATTTTCACTATAACTACACAAGCACCTTTATTGTCACATTTTCTGTGGAAATCACCTGCATTAAAACCATCTTCAGTTGCACGATAAAGCAAGTTCCAACTGAAATAATTTTTCGCTGCTTTTTGTTGACTTAATTGTTGACTTAATTGGTTAGAGGTATCATTACTTATCCAGCCCTCAATTAGGGAAACATGACGAGTTGATATAATTGTAGAATATTTTTTATTTGCACGAGGAGGAAGAATGATAGACTTTGGACGATAATTAGACGCCATGAAAAAATGTATTATATCATTCTTCAAAGATTTAGGTAAGATTTTCTTGAAAGGGTATACGGAATTTGTAATATCATCACCAGACATTTGGAAAAATCTAATCAAAGGAATAATATCTGTTAATGTTTCTTGTAAAGTCATGAAATCCTTTTTCGACATCTCATCCAACTCTTTATCTTTTAAAGAAGGTGATTGGGCAATTCCCCATTGAAGAATAGAATCCCAAAGTTCAACTTCTTTTATATCAAGGTTATCCATTTTAAGAACAAAAATCAGGATATCCTCTTTTAAAGAAGTAAAATCATTTGATCCAAATAAAAGTTTAGGATTATTACAAAGTATTTCTAAATAATAATTCTTAAGTTTTGTCAGGCTATCATAATGAAAAAGCATATGAAGAACTTTGACTGAATTCTTTGTTGTCCAAATTTCATCATTTTTGAGAAGATATTCTTGAATGTAAATCATGATTTCATCGAGCAATAGTTCATCTGAAGCAATGAAAAATTCTAATATTTCAGATAATTCTTTATTCTCCAAGTTAATCGCACCAGTATAAATATAGCTAATAATTAAAAAATAAAAATAAAAATTATACGAGCGTATAACATCATAAGGCAAACAATCAAAAAAATAAATAAATAAATAAACGAAATCAACATAAAAATAACATACTTTAACACAAGTTTAAATATTTTTGAAGAAATATTTGGTTTTTTAAAGGTAATCAAGCCATTTTCTTGTTTTGTAGCCCATTTGTCAGATAAAGCCGAACGAAAATAAGGAGACCTTGTAGCAAGAATGATAGAGTGTACATGGAATTCCACTACATGAGGGTGTTCACCTACTTGAATAATAACATCATGATTAAAAGAAGATTCCAATAATTCACCAAAGTCTCGGGAAAGGCGAGAGAATAAATTGGTAGTCATCCTGTTTGAAAGTGATGATGAAGAACCTGCAGATTTTTTATAATACATAAAAAACGTGGCACGAAACACAACCTTTTTATTGGTGCGTAATTATAAAATATATAAGTACAATACGTACATACATTCAGAAATTGTTTGTATATATTTGGAAGTTTTGTTTTGCCATTTACTGATTTATCGAAAATGAGGACGGTTTAATTTGCACGTGATACGAAATTATTAAAGCAGAACCAATCATTAATTAGTTATCATTGTGACAAAAATATCGTACGTATTATAAATTCGATCGAAAAAGGCAATATATATACGTACGTACGTATAACATTGATTATACTACTTATATAGTTATTAAGGAACATTTTAAGGAATTAACTAGACTGATCTTATAGCCTTGGTCAAATCAAACCAAATTACCAGACACTATCAGCATGACGATAATGGACTTATCTGGAGATTACAATGACTTGCTTGGCAAATAATTTATTATTCGGAAATAACGATATTTAAATTAGATTAAAATGGTTTATATTTAGCAAGAAAATCTTATTAAATTACCGGATATATTTATTTCCATGACTACAGAACTAATGAAATAATTTCCATCGATGTAATGTTTGATGTCCACTTTTTAACTTGTTCAGAGCTATGGTCTATAACTGTTCTCAACAATTATCTATGGAAAAATGGATGATCTGATAAAAAAATTTCTCATTATGAGTAATAGAAAACCAAGCCCTTAATTTTTTACTATTCAGATTTTTATCCATATATTCGTAATCCGTTATCCAAGTATCCGATCTGAATTTATCCGGATATCGTTTACTATTTATATCGAATAATTGATTCGAATATTTATCGATATCAATAGTAAACGGATATCCGGATAAATTCAGATATGGATAAATGGATAACGGATTGGAACTCTATTCAGATTTTAAATTACTGTATCATAATAGATATATGAGACGAACAGTTTTTATAATCACGCCTATACTAGTTTGTCATAATAAAATTAGTTAATACACTTTATTAAATTGGTGCTCATTATATTTGAGCAACAAAAGAGAAGAAATTCTGATCACTATATTAAGATCACAGGGTATTAATCATTTTAGAGTTCCAGTCCACTAGGTGTTTATTCGGATAATTATCAGATATCCGTTTTCTGTTATCTGAAGTAACCGATCTGAATTTATCCGGATATCTGTTTACTATTGATATGATCCAAATATCCGGATATCTGATCCGTTTCATTAAGGCTGTTTTCATGACACCTGTAAAAAATTAGCCGAATGATTTAATACAGTAGATCAATAAAAATTGGTACGTATGTACGCACGTACAAATTTTATTGAATCTATTATGCCGAAATAATCAATTAACTGGATCGGTCAAAAATCATTCGGCTAATTTTTTACAGATGTCCCAGGTAGAGGTTGGAACCGGTTTTAATAATTCGGGTTTATCACGTGAATTTTGTGATATTTTAGAATTTATTAAATTTTA